CCTGTTTTCAGGTGTAGTCCATTTTTTTTCCTACGTGGGTGGTCAAATTCCGAAGGCCGGTGGATTTGTGCGGCCCAAATTTGGATTCACGCGAGCCTCAAAGAGACGTGACCTTCTCCGGCGTTCACTCCGCGCATCGTCAAACGTGACATGTGCATATTAAATACACTTAACATACGTCAAATGGAGACTGGATGATTCTAAAAGATAGATCTTTTTGGATTTATGACGTTGGAAACAATCCTCAGCATGCAAAGCACGATGGACATTTGACTCACACGTCTCTTTCCACAGATGATTATTTATCAGAAGCAAACCTGCATCTAAATCATATCTAGCATTGTTTGCTTACATGCTTATATGTCAAACGGTGAAAGAGAGAGAGAGATTTATCCTGTCCGTCGTAACCCTATGAACAAGGATTTTATTTTCAACCTGTTCCCATGCTAATTACAGGTTCTTTTACATTTACATTGCATTATATCAATTGAATTTATAAAGTCCAGAAATTATTTTTTATGTTAACTTCTCTCACATGAGGCCATGGTTCACACTTCATTGCAAGTTTGTAGATTAAGGTGGCCGTTTCGCTATCAAATAAGGTGCAGATGTATATTATGTGCGTCCAGGTCTGTCGTCCCAAACCACATGGTCACCTTGGATCGTACACGATGGTGAAGCGCTAGATAGGATCTGTTTTTACCGTGGTTTATAAGAGCTATTGTAGTCAATGATGACATCCATTCGGGATTTGACTGTCGGGAAATAACTCCTGGTATATGCTGCATTCTTCGTCTCTGTCCATTCTTTCTCCCAGATCGTCCTGCTCTGAATCCTAGTAGTAGTAATGACAATGCTTTTTGGCACTTTTATATAAGTGACACCGAGGTCCTCATGAAGGGCTGCTTCTTTTGCCAGGATGTTCTGCCCTTTCATTTCCTCAGATCCCGGCATGAGCTTTAATCCACTGGAGGCTAAGTTTCCATTGAAGGTCGTATCGGATTTCTCTAAGCTACTTATTTTTTCCGCTAGTTGGTCATGGCTTCTATGGTCTTTTAGATAATGCAATCTCACTGTCAGTTTTTAACACAGCAGTTCTTTCTTTTACTTCATAAATATTTTCTTTAAACCAATACAATCGAAAATTGCTAGTAATTCAGCCTGGTTATTTGAACATCAATCCGTTAATTTATGTTTCTTCTCTATTTTAATGTTACTTCCTGTTAAACCAACAAAAGCATAGCCAACTGCATTGCCTATTCTATTATCATCCGTGATGATTTCATGGTGATCATTTTCTGTTGGCAGTGTCCGACAAAATGTTCTCTACTGGACGAGGGTGAGACCAGTCAATAAATTTTGTAGGCATTTCGTATTTTGGCTATGTGGGATTTTGCTCTCCTGCATATGCTGAACGGATCTGTTTTTTTTTCCGCAAAATTTCCCGCAATTTGATGTCTATTGGCAGAAATCCTGCCAGGACGACGGCGGCAGCGAAAGAGATTGTCTTGAATCCTCTTATTGTTCTTAATGCTATTCTACGTTGTACACTCCTAAGTTTGTGTATATTCTGTTTGCTATCCAATCCAGAGAGAGAGTGAGAGGGAGAGATTTGTTATGATCTGCGGGGTGATGAACGAGTTAGGTCTTTTCGATGTCGCGCGTTTTGGATTTTCGCCGTTTTCAGTGGTTTGTCTGTGTTTTTTTAGAAGACGGAAACCCCCCCCCCCCAATGGAAAGATGCTGAAACGGACCTGACAGTCTAAAATAATCGGAAACTACCGATTTAAATTATTGAGAATTTTTGAGGTGATTGCTTTCGCGTTGCAGTGTTACGCTTAGTTAGGTTCGAAAAAGCACGTCCATTTTTTCCGTATGAACCCGAATATCTTGTGAAGATGGTCGAAGGTAGATTATTACCTCCCCTCCCCGTATCTGTTTCAGGATTGTGATTAGCCGATTGCAGATCAGGCGAGTGATCTGCATGTTCACTGCAAAGGCGGCAGGATCAAAAGATTATAAAATAACTGTCTTCTCACGTATACTGCAAGGCGTTGTTGAGGAATACGGACATTCGCCAAGATATGATCCAATCGATCACGAAAGACTTCTGTGTCGGCCTTTCGAATCAATTGTCAGAAAATTTAGCCGTTGGGTCAAGAGTTTTCCAGTTTCAAGAACAAAGCGGAAAATCGGTTCTCTGTGTTATTCCATTTTGCCAATAGATTGCACAAAAAAAGCGTTTTCTCTGACAATTATCCCCCTGTGTTTGTGCGTTCCTCAAACTAATAATAGACCTTTAAAGGAACGGATAAAGTTTACACAGGGTCGGCACATGGTTCAACACAAATCTCTTTAAAAGTACAAACAAAAAAGGGTTTTGTGGTTCCATTAGAGCTTTCATCCCGGCTCCTGCACGGATTTATTTATTTGCCACGGAGAAAACCTTTCCGGCGCGTCTGCTCGTGGGTTCAGTAGCCTTTCGGACCCCGAGGTGGCAATTTATAAAATGGAACTTTTCTTGATCTTCTGAAACCGACGCGGAGATTTTTCTTCTTCTGTGAATCTTGTTTCTACCTAAGACCTTCGGTGCCAGAAGACAAAGGAAGTCGCGATTTATTTCAGACCTTGAATCCGTAGTTTTTTTTTGTTTTTTTTTTCATCCGCTTCCGCTCCTGGAGTGCGTGAGAGTCCTCATTTCATGCCCACTCCTGGAACAAAACGATTACGTCCTACCATCGAGTGCACTCACCTTTACTTGAGAATAATTGAATAGGTACTTGATCTATATGTCGGTTTTACCATTTGTCCTTGCATTTTCCATTGAATGTACTTCGCACAATTGTAATATTAGTCAAGTATTAGCGATAATTCCTACACCCACTATCTTAAGAAAGCATAATTAATATTAATAATGTATAATTAATAATTAAGTAACATAAGATTTTTCAGTTCTATTGAAAAAAGGTTTAAAATGAAACAAAGTATTACAAAAACTGAAGAAACAGTACTGTACAAGTACCGGTTGATTTCTTACATTTATGTTTAATACATTTGCATAATTTATGGTAAAACATTAACTTCAGACCTAAAGTTAAAAAAAATTGTCGAAAGGTTTTATGAAAATTTACGAAAAGACTTTTACACAAGGACAAGTTGATTGACCAAATTACAATTTTAAAGTAAGTACGTAAGTTAAGTAACGCCTGTCATACAGGACGGCTTAACGTCCAATACTCTTTTGGGTGTCGTGGACGAGATGTCAAACCGCAATACATTTTTCATATTAATCAATTTTTCAAAAGCCACGAGTCTTGACGGGATTCGAACCCAGAATCGCAGCGTGACAAATACGAGGTGGACGACCTAACCACTCGGCCACTGCGGTCCGCGATGCTTAAATTGTTAAAATTACAAATTAATACATCGTCAGTTCTCTGTATCTTAATAGTCTTACATGTTCTCAAAGTTTCTCGTAGAATTTGACAACCTTTGTAAAACATGGCGGAACACTTCTGCTACAACATGGATAGGCAGACCAGTATGACTGAAAAGTTGAATCGGTTAAATTGATTTTTAATTTACATAAGCCCAATTCTGCATACAAATATGTATGTACTTATATGTGCAGAATTGAACTTATATACATTGAGCTTTCTGTTCAGCCATTTCGGTGTTTTGGCTGTCAGTCCTCGGTCCGTCCCGATGCCGAAGTTAGATGCCAGGGGCTGTGAAGAGCTAGGTCATTTCTCCCCCAAGACAGTTTTTAAATCTAGGCACACTCACATTCATTCCTAAATACATTCTTTTCTACATACAAATCACTCAAGTAGGGTGGTGTAGTGCGCGATATTCCAACATGGCCCTCTCATATTTACACATTCACTCTAATAAATACATTCACTCTAAATTTACATAAAATGAAACGGAAAGCGAGATATCTACTAAGTATTATGCACAATATAACAGCCCTGTTTCCCCCAAGTATCGAAACAGGGGACCAAAAGGTCAATATGGTACTCGAGTACAATTCTTGTATCAGATGGCTTCCTACACGCTCTCTATATGGAACCAAAAATGACACCCTTTAATTGCAGGACATAGGCCAACTTTATCCCAAAACATCAGCTAGCAGACGGTTTACATATACTTACAGTTCAAATGTAATATTTGATCACAATTTCAGATTTAAACAAATATTGTTTTGGATTTTGGGATTTCCTCTTGAGATCTGGGTATTGGGCCTGCAGCTCGCTCATTTCCGATCATCCTGGTCAACCTATCTTCCCTGATTTAGTCTGTCGACGAGTTTTGTTATTTTGGCTTATTAAGTGATAATCTAGATCTGTCAAAATGTAATATTAGTGTAAGTTTTTACTGAAGCACGTAAAACTGAAAGCGCATATGACAGGCCAAAATGGTCGTAAACGGCCAAGTTTATTATTAGGGATATACGAGGTTATTCAGTTATCGACCAACTTTGATTATCATCTGGCTTGGGATATAAGCACACTAAATACAAAAAACCATCCTTTGCACGGTTTGCTTTCACAGACAATAGAAGGAATCCGTGACTTGCCTCACCCTGCTTATATCCCTCCCACCACCATTTTTTTACATTGAATATAATACATTTAATACTGAAATAATCAGACAACAAATTAGTGGTTTAGAATTGGGAAGTTTTTGACTTTTATAAATGAACAATTAAAGTACATACTTTGTAATTAAAGTGTAGGTAAATTGTGATTAGAAACTGATCAACGAACACAGATACTTATCACTGTCTGAAGTAAAGCACAATGCCTTTATAACTGAATTTATTTAAAATTACCAATTCATTTTGTTAAAATTTTACCTCATTTTTTATTTGATCCTTAATAAATTGGAATGTTTAATGTAAATGCCCTTCTTTTAAAGTTGAAACATTGAACATTGAAAAAAAGTACACGTATTTTCGAAATATTATCTAACTGGTATGCTTTAATTGATTGTTTCAGGTTCAGGAAAGAGTGGGATGATGGATATAACAATCCTGAGCAGCAGGGAGAGCAATGGGGCTACCCTGTGGGTGAACTACCTCACGACTTGCTTCCAGCAGATTTCCAGGGAACAACAAAAGCCCCCATTCAAGTGAGTCTCAATGAAAATCAGGTTTTTTATTTTTATTTTATTTTTTCCTTTTATTTTCTTCACAGGTTGGCAAAAGTCTGTGTCGAAGATGTACTAGGTGGTTTGCCCGTCGAAGGATCATCCGGTTCCCGTCTTCAGATTGTAATCGTGTGCCCTACATTTTTGGACGCTCTTACTTCAAGCACAGGCGTTCCGATTCTTGCGTCTTTGCTCCAACCAGCTTCAGTATTAGCCATGCTTTTGGGTGTTACGTCAAAGAACCTAGATTGTCATCCGCTGACCAGTAATTTACATTTCCTGCTGATTTTTGTATTATTTTCTCCAAAACTAATACTTTAATTTGTTTTCTAAAGGTTTGTTTCGATTCGAACAATGGAGGAAACAAGAAGTAAAAGACCAAAATCCTACATTTGTCGGCGATTTCTTAGGCATCGCTATGGACATTCTGAGCAGGTCTTGGCAGCTTCAGCAAGCGATAGCCCAGATGAAAGTCGACAATAACCGAGCCCACTTTTCAATAATACCGAAAAAGATTAAAGTGGTAAGAGTACAAAATTAAACTAGTAATTAATACAATTAAAAAAAAAAATGTTTCCAGGGGCAAAACAAACTCTTGATTCTTCTCAACGACCCCATTAGCTCCAATGATAAGATAACAATAAGCATTGAAAAAAGCGGGACCAAGATAGACGTCCCTTCTGTCAAAAGAAGGAACCCTTACACTCTTCAATTTGCCATGCCAAGTAAGTGAGAAACATTTCACATGAATAAATCATGCTTTTATTAAAACAAATATGCATGTATTTATATTCAAATAGATGCAAATATTTGTCCATTTTGAACACATTAAATTTGTAAGTTAAATGATGATTTCAATCATTGAAAAGTTTGAGCATTAAAAACTGAAGCTGGAATTACTGTGTGTGACTTAATTTACATAAGTATGATACGGTTATTATAGCCCAGATAATTATTAAACTTCTCAAGTCTTTTTACATTAAACTTAACAGGTACTGTACTTGTACTAATCTTGTACCTTTTTCTACCTCAGATATCCTGACAAAAACCCTTAGACAATATTGCTCAATAATATTTCTAACCTTAAAAACAATTTCATACGCTACCTTGAATTCTGTCTTTATTATGTCTAACCTGGAACTGATAAATGCAAATAAAAATACAGTAATCGGACAGCTTTGGGAAGCTCTATAAACTAAAACAAAGGCACAACGTGCAACAGTATTGAAATTAGTTTGTATGGACTGGAATTAGACATCCTACGACAGTCTTTCCAATCCAAAGTCATGAATCACTCTCCCTACTCTCTTCAACCCTTCCCAATGACCTCACAATAACCTTAGCAGATAACTGATCCCAATATTCGAAGTTTCATGATAAGATCTCCTCTCACTTTAACCATAAGCCCAATTCAACATATTCCACCTAACCTCATCAGACAACTAAAGCATGTTATTTAATCATTGCCTACTGAGCTCTGTCTCTATAGGGTAAGCTATAATAACGAACATTGTGTACTTTGAATGTGTGCCTACACAAACACTTTTTGTTCAAAAAACTTTCATATTTTTGAAAAAGCAAATTTTTTTTTGCAACATTCTGCATATAATAATTAGAGAGATAATTTCTTTTTAACAAAATCGAAATGTTTCTAGGTTCGTGTTTGCAGACATCTATGCTTGTTGCTGTTAATGTTGAAAGAAATGGAAGATCTCTTGGCCACAAGCTCGTAAAGTGTGAAAGTAGGCTGCGTGAGCTTGACCAACTGTTGAAATCCGCAGACAACCCTTTGGTCTTCATGTGTCAGGTTGAATTGCATTCTTTTTGCTATTTATACAACCTGGAAAAATTATTGAAATGACCTAATTTACACTCTTACCATTGTAGGCTTTGGGTTTGACTTCTGGAGACAAAGACCACTTGGACGCATTTCTGGTCGCGACATTTCAAAAAAACATGCCCCCTAATTTCAATCTATTGAATGCAACTACAGGAAGGGATTTAACAAGTAATTTTGCAAACTTTTTTATTTCACTTGTAATGTAAATTAATCTTTAAATATATTTTTAGGCAATGAGGAGTATCCAACACTACTGCATTTTGCAGCAAGATACGGTTTGGAAAAGCTATGCTGGCAGCTTCTCGAATGTCCCGGTGGGGAGCTTGCATGTCAGCTGAAGAATGCCGGACAGCAGACTCCTGCTGAATTGGCAGATAAGTCAGGACACCAGAAGTTAGCACATGCTCTTCAGGGTTATCTGGTAGGCATATAAAACAAATGAATATTAAAAAATATACATTTTTACATATGAATATTTAAATTTTTTTGTTGCTTGTTCCATGGTGTTTTCATAGCAAATGACAGAACTATCTAGCATGTATAGCTATTTAAAAGGAGTTTCAGAAAAACAAGATGGTAGGTTTGAATAATTTCTTTTTTAAAACAAAGAATTACAACTAGACTTTTTTTTTGTATTTTAGAACAAAAGTTTGAAGATGGAAATTATTTGATGCCAAGACCTTTAAGTGACACATACTTGATCCCACCAAAAGCACGCCCAGTTTTACCAAATTTACCTATTCAGGAGAATTATAGCTTATCTTCATCGCCGAAAGATGTGTTTCTTTCCTCACCTAAAGAACTTTTTGCACCTAAAGAAGCATATCAAGTCCCACCTTCACCGAGTGAAGTTTTTCAAATACCAAAATCACCGAAAGAGTACTATCAGATGCCTCCTTCTCCTAAGGAATTCTTCCCAGTACCGGAATCTCCACTTGAAAATTATCAGTCGCCGCCAATGGCAAGACCATTTACACCAATAACTCCATCTACGCCTTCTTCACCTCTTGACGGCCCTAAATTTTCAGCATATCTTCAAATGCACTCTCCAGGTATGATTTATTACTTGATGTATCTGTATTTATCATTAAATGTTTTTATCTTACTGTTCTAGTATCACAAAATTTTGACCAAATTTTGGGACCAGAAAAAAAATACGCCTCAGTTAACACTGGAACTGATAATTTATCAATAGCAAGTAGTAAGTAATTTTTGTTCGTAGTAACAATGTAGAATATTAATTTGTTAATAAATTTTCAAACTAAAGGCGGACATAACTACGTAAACACTAGCAGTTCCACCAGTATTTGTAGTAAAACACCTGAAGACGAGCTAGTCGAGATCATCAACGATTTTAAAAACAACGTCTTCACTATTGGCGAGGTCGAGAAACTTGTCGAGGCCTGGCGAAATAGAAACGACGTCCAGCAGTCGTTTAGGGAGAAGCAAGAACAGCTGGCTCAAATGAGGCAAGAATATGAAAGGATTCAGCAGCAAATGAAAGATCAAATGAAACGTGCAACACCTTTTGAGAGAATCAAAAAATTTTTTTCTAGAAAATCCAAACGTAATTATTCTTCCTTTTCTTACGTATGACAATATTTACTTTTGTAGAAACTAAAATTTTATTATTTTTACAGATGATGTATCTTGTAAAGGACGGAATCCTGCAGATCCAAATTCACCTCACAGGCCCGTTTCTAGTCTTAGCTTGCACAGTTCCTGCAGTAAGGGTTTTTTTCTATATTTTATTTAAATGATGACTTTAATTATTTTTATTTGTATAAATAATTTATTAATTAAATTTCTAAAAGGTTCTTCATCATGTGGAAGAATGAGTACATCCAGTGGCACAAGCCTAGGAGATTCAGGTACACATTCTGATCCCGATGAAAAGAAGGCAGAGGTATGTCCATTACTATTTTTTATTTTAATTATCTATTTGTTTTTAAAATATGTCTTTTTTTACAGATAATGGCTGCTGATAAAATATTTTCTTGTCCGGACACCGTTTTCCATGAGAGGTTGGCATCTGTGAAGGAAAACGAGGCTTCAAATTACTGTCATGATGAATATGTGTGTGCTAGTCCAGCAGTCTTTCCTCTGAAGGCTGCTCTTCCTAAACCACCGATTACTGGAAGAACTATAGTCGAGGTACATAGAAGTGATGAATCTATTCAAGAAGAAGAAAAGGAAAATGATAAAAAAGAGATAAACTACATCAACACTAATGGAGAAAAAACTGCTCAAACGGAAGAAACTAGCAGTGAAGAAATGAAATATTTAGAACAGAGTGAAAAATTGTTGAAAGACATGGCAAACGGGCTAACTCATTATGAAGAAGACGATGTACTCTCTCCACCAGAATCGGCTTTTTTGCAAGACGGTGAAACCCAAGCTGAAGCTCAAGAATCGGATATAAGTGATGTCCAGGTCGATGAAGATGCTTCAGGCCAAGTGCAAGAGCCCGAAGGTAAACATCCCGCACAGGAAGACAACCGAGAAAATATTGAAGATGTCAAAGTTGAAGAAAGGCTAGAAGAAGAATCCAAAGAAGGAAAGAACATAGAAGTCAAAGAAGAAAATGAAACCAAAGATGACAAAAAGACGGAAAACGATGAATGCTCGTTACCAACTCAAAATGGCGAACAAAACTTTAGCGAAAATGTTACCGAAGAGATTAAGTCTATTGAAGCTGTAACCAAAGAAATTGACGACGATACTTTCTCCCGAGAGTACATCAATGTCAGTCATACGGCTGTAACCAAAGAAATATTCAGCATTGAAAGCGATCATTTACAATCCTATGTAAACGTATCGTTCCCTTCTCCTCCGATACCCCCTAGGATAAAGTACAAAAACATATTACTTTAAGATTGTACATTTCTTGAAACTTCTGTAAATATTTCTGATAAATTATTTATTTGTAAATTTAATTCAATTTTATTTTTAATAGTTGTTTTTAATTTAAATTTTATAATTGCTTCAATTTATCTCTTTCGATGTTTTTTTTTGTTTAAATTAAGTATGTTAATTGCCTTAATATTGTATTTTTTGCTATTTAATAATTTTTTTTATATTGTATTGAATTGAAAAAAAAAACAAAAAAAAAAAACGTAAATATGCTTTTGAAATAAAGGAATTTATATGGAATGTTTTGTTTGTATTATCTTCAATGCGCATTAATCTTAGTTTTAACTCAAAAGAGATATTTTTTAAAATCATTATGCTGTAATGTTCATCATAATTCTAACATTTATATTGCACTGAGTTCAGTGAGATGGTAAACTTGTAGCTTAATCCATCTCCGATTATCTAGAATCCTGGAACCAGGATGGCCAATGATCAAAGTTTATAGCACAAAATAAATTATACTATTATTTTTTAAATAAGGACAAAAATGGCAAAAAGGAGGGAAAACTCATAAGGTGGGGTTGTGATAGGAAGTTGATGTCCGAGTGGATCAAGGTCACGATAGCTCAAGTGGTAGAGCTGCGGCTTATCTAGCCGAAGATCGTGGGTTCGAATCCCGCTCGTGCCATTAACTTTTTTTCCTCTCACCTAAAAACCTTAATTAATTGTAATGATTTAATTGGTCAAGCGGACCACGAAATTCCATTAAATTTATAAAGCAATTAATGATATAACCTTTCACTGAAGAAGGCGATAAGGAGCCAGTATAGGGCGCTCAGAGACAAACTGGGATGCTGAGTATAAAAAATAGAAAATAAAGTAATTCCTGTTATGCAGGAGGGTTTAACGTACAACAACATTGGGTGTCACAGACAACGAGGGGTCTAACCACTTTACAATACATTTTTCAAACTAAAATCAATTAAAAAGTCATGGGCTCTGCTGGAATTGCATCCCAGAACCACTAACATAGTAAATATGTGTCAGACACCCTCGTATACATAATTAATCTCATGACCATCCTCAAGAAACATGGAGTACGTCCTCCTTCATCTCTCTTTAGCAACTTTCATCTAGTATGCTGAAACCTATAATTACAAAGCATAAATTCTTGCTGATTAAGAAGGTCTTTCGATTTATGATAAAGTGTGTGGTGATTAGTAACCGTTAATCGATAATTATTCAGATATCGTGAGATGCCTGTTGAAACCTACATCACCAGACCGCATCTCACGATATCTGAATACTTATGATAAAGGCTCAGTGATAACTGCTTGACTTTATATTCCAATGTATATCTAAAAGACATTTATTATTAGAATCTTCGATTGTTAAATCATAGTATCTCACTTGGAGGTTATGCCCCTTGTAGATGGTATATTAGTGGGAGGCCTGTACCTTTTTCAGCAGTCACGCTAGGTTTTTCCTCAGATAACCAATAACGGCTTGAAATCAAATGAGGGGAGCTTTTAGTTCCTACATCGTAAAAGATATGGCTACTCTTATCTCTTCTGCCAGATTCTACAATCAGCAGCCCATGATATACCTAACCTATACAGCACCTTAACCAGGTAGTGAGGATGTCTTGGAAACAAAAGTGTCAAAGAGGAATGTAGCAATTAAAGAACTCCAACTTGTACACTTCATCTTGAGACAGACCTTGACCATATTTTCTTGTAAGATTTATTCTTAACCTGTTGATCAACGTTTTGGGCAATTTGGTTTCCTACAATAAAATCCATGGATAATAGTTGTTCTGACTGAATATTCCTTGACTTATTTATTGGCCTCCTTGATGCTGCAACTCTGGACTTTACTGTTGATGAGATAGTTGCCTTTAGTCCCTCCTGGCTGCCTGAGCTGATGACATGATTCCATGGGTCATCCATGTTCGTATTGTAAATGTTTTTAAAAGATAGTGCCATATATTCAGCACAATTACCATATGAGCACTTTTGACAATGAAGATACACTTTGTTACCACTAGGTCGTAGTGAAGTAAACTGTTGGTATCAATTTCTTTGTAAGGCAAATGTGTATCATCTTCCCATAAATTAAACTTTTGGGCCATGCTATGTTCTATGTAGAGTCTTTTAACTAGCTCACATAGCTCATAGAATACTCAGACTCTTCTGAACCAGCACAGCTTCTGTTTAGGGTTTCAGTGATCGTGAATCTTCTATACAAATAATTATTCTTATTAGTCATTTATTGGTTATCTGAGCCAGTTCTTCAGATTATATAAAAATAATTGTTATAACCAATGATCTTTGTTAATAAGTTTAACTTTTTGGTTCTCTTGTTATTTTGTAGCTTTTACAATCATTAGCCTGGTGCAATTCATGAAGCAATTTTCCAATAGGTACTTATCACTTGATAGAAGGTAATTGTAATTATAAATTACCATTGCACATATAATTTCTTCATCTATCTTTTTACCGACATAGGTTTATAAAAAAACACAAATTAATTGGCCAATAAAATTGTAGAACAAATAAGACAATCACATCTGATTGAGGCGGAGGAATTGAATTGATCCAAGCAGCAGATGGCAGACAGTTTGGCTAAAAATCAAATGATACGGAAGAAATAAGATATTGAAATACATCTAGTACATACTTAAAGATGAAGTTAGTTGCAATAAATAAAAAGTACAAGGAAGAATGGTGAAGGGTGAATTAAGAGAAACTAAAGTAGGAAGGACTGCAAACTAACATAAGCAACAATTAAGCATGGTAGAACAAGGCACTACATTACAGGATCCATATAAGAGAAGGACCTAGGTATAGCTGAAATCATCAAACCGATCAAACCTTCTAAACAACTGTTTGCTTCTAAAATGATATAAAAAGAGCATTATTCAGAACAACCATCTCAGCTGGCCTCTGTCAAGACACTCATTTAATCCAAAATGCTTACTATATTTTATTGATAATCAAAAATCATTCTGAACTGTTTAAAGAGCATTAGGAGTACCCTGTTTAAAGAGCAACAATATCTTCAAATGCTAAAGGACGCTGCAGCTCCTCCTCACTTGAAAAACAATAAGGAAATAGTCGGCGGCTTGCATCTCCCTGCTTATAACCTAGATCAACTAGCAAACTGGCGAAATTCAGAGAGGATACATCCCCCTCAACCTCTAGAAGAAATCTCAATAATATTATTGTTCAATAACATATCATATTCAACGGGTTATATATGTATGTTAGCGAAATACATACAGCAGGATTATTTATGGAAGAGGAAAAGGCACAATATCGTAAAAATCAGTAAATATAAATTGTTGCTCAAGAGTTAAAATTATATTTCTCGTGCATTTCAATGTTCGTTTTTTTATACAGACACTGAAACGCTAGGGTTTGTTCTTCATAAAAATCCCGATGCCATGTCACGTAACGAGGCGGTTTTCGGGTTTGTTTTACCAACAGGCCTTTCGTTCCTAGCAAAAGCAAAAACTGTAAAGACGAGTCTTGATAACCCTTCGCCCTTACCAAAACCGCAGAATCGATGAAAGAAAAAAAACTTTCGATTGACGGTATCGGTTATCTAAGCTCAATTTCGAAGTGCATCGGAATTGCGTAAACTGATGAGCGCAAGTGTCGGCACCTTGCCCCTCCCCGCTTATATCCTTGATCAACCATTAAAGTGTCATAATGTCGAAACGCTTCTGACAGGACAAACCGTGAGAATAGACTTCGATGGATAGTGTGGATAAAGCCAATATGCTCAAAAATCTTAACAATTTTCCTTGATGGCTTTCGTAATCTCTGTTTATGATTTCGCTCACCATTTCATAAGACAACGAACAAATAAAGACCTCCAAGACGGAACATATTCAATATTAAAATAGAAGCTTTCACCAAAATAAAAATAAAAGTAGCATCTTGCTGACGCGCTAAGAAAAATGTATTATACAACTGGAGGCTGTTCGAATTTCTTTCATGACTGTCATAAATATTAATGTTTCGTTTTTAATGTTGTATTCTACAGCGCATTTATGCCAAGGTTTGATATATTAAAGGGGAAATTGTAAATTAATCTTTACTAGGATGCTGACACATATCCCTGTATTGTCGTCGTCTTTAAAACCGTTAGTTTGTCTTTTCTCTTTTTTCTTTCCTCCTTTTTTATGTGTGTGGCTCAGAGACCTTCAATAAGCTCCTGAAACTATTATGTTAGGTAATTTAACGAGAGACAAAAAAAAGGGGATGACTTTCATCTGTATAATCCTCAGGTGCATCCTTCTCCATTAAGATTTCATTTTTTGCCCTCAGGAAATTCCAGAAAGGATCTAGGGCCCTACTAAAAATGTTGCCCTTGTAATCAAATCCTTTTTTTTCTTATTTATACCTTAAGGGTTGGTGAGAACACGCAATAGTTAGGCTAAGTTTGGTTAACAAAATTCATGATGGAAAATCACAACCCAGTCAGAAAAACAATCACGACAATGTTAGTTTTTTTCACGCACACTTCTTAAAGTTTATAACTTTTTAAACAACATTTCAAAATATGCAAATAAGATACCTTCTTTCTGCTGCTCTTTGGGTCTGGCGGAAACATTATTTCGCTATTTTTTATTATTTCGTATATAGAAAATAATAACTAACTCCGACTTTTTTCAATGTGAAAAACCCACCAGGAAACTGTCCGCCCTTGCCTCTCCCTGCTTATAACCCTGATCAAACACTGAGGTGAACCAATGCCGAAGTGCGTCTGACCGTGCCAATCAGTCAGGATAGATACTCTTATGACCATCTGACCTCAACATAAAATATAATATGCTGTGTTTTATTTCATATATAGAGAAATTCTGGCCCTTGCCTACATGGAAAATGTACCAGAAAACTATCGGCATGTTTCCTCTCTCTGCTTATAACCCGATCAACATTGAAGTCATGATATCGAAACGATTCTGACAGGTCAAACCAAGAGAATGGACTTATAAATTATGATGATCGTAGACGATCAACATCACCACGATACTTCAACATAAAGTATTATATACTGTTGTATTTTGTAAATA